GTATAATTTACAGTGATTAACCGTAAATTGACATTCCCAGAATTCCCTGCGTTACATTTCAAATTTGATGTTTTTTTGTTGAAATAACTATGTTTCTTTTTAGTTTTTTCTTATCAGTTTTGTATATTTGGGTTGTGTGTTACACCTAATGTTGTTAAATTAATGTTTGTTGCATTATTTCAGTTTCATGTGTGTTATCATGATGGTGTTTGGTGTTTGTGTGAATGACACTGTGCACCTTCTATATATGTTATTATTTAAAAGCTGCTTGTGATGGGCTTTGGTTCATCATGTGACTTTCTCATCACCACCTGCATTTGGTGGTTATCAGTGTATTACAAATGTACAAAACAGATTTCAGTACTTCAATAGGTTGGTATATTAACATTATATCAGTTAATATATATATCAGTTAATATAGTATAACTGTAAATTTAAGTTAAAACCGTAAAACCTAAAACGTTGCTACCGTATTTTTTACGGTAAAATTCCAGCAACCACAGCTGCCGGTTTTTTTACCGTAAATTTTACGGAATTTTAATTTATTTCATTAGCATATATATCTTCATAAAAAGTGACAAACAAGGAACATCATAAGATGTTTTTCTGATATTTCTGATATATCAAATTGTCTGATGTTTTATTTTAATTTACCACCACTATTATAAACACACAATAGTTTTACGGTTTACTGAAACAGTGGTTATAAAATGATATCTTATTAGTTAGTCGGCTATTAAACAGTGCTGCAGATTTATTAACATAGAGAGAATTTTTGAACAAATTTAAAATACCAGTTAAACCTAATAAATTTGCAGTTGTAATGGATATACCCAGTAAAACGTGCTGGAACGGGTTTGAACTAGATATTTATTACTCCTGCAATTTCTGTAAAGGTGATATATGCTTTTTATATATGCTATTTTTCCATTGCACATATTCTGGACTGATATGGAACATTTAATTAAGAAAAAAATGGACATTGCTTTACAGCTAAATGGATTTGACATATTAATACATTTCAATGATCATGATAACGATAAAGCATATCTGGTACAATTATTAATATACATGGGAACGTTTCATATTTTAAAATGATTTCAAGTTTTATTTAAATGCTTTACAAAACTGTAAAAATGCAATTAGAGTATGTATAATGTGTGTGTATATTTGTTATGGTTTATTGTATTTTTTATTTATTCATTTTTTTGTCTGCTTAGGAATGGATATTTCTCATTGTAGGCTTTTGTTCCTGGTTATGGCAATAATACTAATAATAATAATAAGCTTTACAGTTTACTGCACTTTGCTATTGTAGTTATAGATGAAAATTTCACTTTTTCACTCGATTTGTATGTTTGATTTATAAGTTCTTTTCTATTGATATTGTTTTTAATAAAACCGTGAATAAATGTAACAATATGTGCTGAATTTGAATGAACTGTTTAAATGTTAGAAATGTTCTTTATTTAAACAAGTTATATTTTCAGTGAAAAGATCTTGGTTGGTTGTCTATAATATTTTGAATTCATTTTATTTTCCGTTTTAATTTTGTCTCTTGTTTGTTTATTTGTTTGGTTTTTAAATCTGTCTATAGAAATAAAACATTTTAATATCAGTTTTATTTTAAGTATTTTAGTAATTAAATGTAAACTAAACAAGTAAAAATTTCCTATGGTGATTTTTGTGTTTTGAAACTTCAGGTGAATTCAGGTAAATTTGTATAAACCTCCAGAAAATTAAATTAATAAATTCAGAATCAGAATGAGCTTTATTGCCAGGTATGTTTACACATACGAGGAATTTGTTTTCATGACAATCTTCCGCAGTGCAACAGAATGACAGCTGAAGTTGTTGACATAAGTTGTTGAAGTTCCACTGTAATATTGTTACTGTTGTTGTTCATAGTTGGTCCACAACGGGTCGCCATATAACACGAAGTGAAGTTGTCATGACTGTGCGATGACAGGTATGATTCATTCTAGAGAATCGCTTCATTCGCGCGGCTCGCTAAAAGAATCGATTCAAAGAACTGATTTATTTGAGCGAATTATTTCTTTAAACACTGATGCTTATAACTACGTTTTCGATCAAAATTGCTAATTGATGATATGTTAAACATAACAGTTTCTATAGTGTTTCAGAATCACTTTGCCCAAATCATGAAAAAGAATCAATTCGAAACTATGATTCGGAACATCACTAGTTGCTTACAGGCCTATCCTAAAACTCTACACCAGAGCAGTAAAGATCTCTACTATATGTAAAGTTTGACTCTGTGCTACCATAGGTACAGATTATTAACAGTTGAGTATTGTTGTAATTTATTAAGATATTGCCGTAGCGTGAGAATGGTTCTAACCCAGACAGCAACATAGTGTTGGCCCAGATCCGGCCCACATCTAGCCCATGTGAAATCCATGAGGGCCAGATGTGGGCCGGATCTGGGCCGAAACTGTCTGCTGTCTGGGAAGATACTAATGATGTATTCATTTCATTTAAAGGATCTGAATGTAAACAAAAAAGGTTGCCTCACTGCCTGAAGTCAACATAAACGATTCAGACCTGCTATCACTTCAGAATTGAATCATTTGGTCTTGCAAAAAAAAAAGTTTGAAAGGGCCTATATTTGCAACTGTCTTGGTTAAAATAATAATAATAATCTATTATGAAAATGACAGATTTGTAATATCAAAACTGTTAAGTGATTAGTTATGTAACGTTCTGAATTGTAGCTACACCTTAGCAACTGTATTTATTTTTTACCCATAGGCTCAGCTTTTAGAATTTTTTCTCCTTATTTTTACCGTAAGAGCGGGCGTGGCCATTTGTAAGTGTAATGTCTGGTCTCATCCGCTTCCAGCTATTTTTTTCTGTTAAAAAAAAACAGCTTGTTTTGCTGCTTGCAACTTGCAAACTGGTGTTCTCTTACCTTATTATTTTAATGTATTATCTTAATTATGAACACACTGGTTTATAGTGCAAACAGTTTTACCATTTACTTGTTATTCTTCTCGTTATTTCCCTACAGCGGCTAATGAACCGGAAGTCTCGCACATTCTCAGAAAACGGCTTACGTCCGTGTTGAAAAATAAGGTGGATGGCAATTATTTTATTTTAAAGGGGTCATATGATGCTGCTAAAAAGAACATTATTTTGTGTATTTGGTGTAATGAAATGTGTTTATGCGGTTTAAGGTTAAAAAAACACATTATTTTCCACATACTGTACGTTATTGTTTCTCCTCTATGCCCCGTAATGAAGGTATGGTATGTTCCTCCATCCTGAAGAGTTTCACATCATGAATTAGTAAGTTAGTAAGAATTAGTAAGTTTTTAGACACACACAAACCAAATCCATCCAATAATAGACACAAACTGCAATGCAGAAGCTGTTTATCTATGGAACAGGCATCTTATCTATGGAAACATTTGTGAACCAGGACCACAAAACCAGTCATAAGGGTACATTTTTTTAAATTGATATAGGACAATATTTGGCTGAGATACAACTATTTGACAATCTGGAATCTGAGAGTGCAAAAAATCTAAATATTGAGAAAATCATCTTTAAAGTTGTCCAAATGAAGTTCTCTGCAATGCATATTACTAATCAAAAATTCAGTTTTGATATATTTACGGTAGGAAATTTACTAAATATCTTCATGGAACATGATCTTTACTTAATATCCTAATGATTTTGGCATAAAAGAAAAATCGATAATTTTCACTCATACAATGTATTTTTGGCTATTGCTAAAATATACCCGTGCTACTTATGACTGCTTTTGTGCTTCAGGGTCACATATGGGTAGCAAAAATCATTTTGAAATTTAATATGCAAAATGACAAGGCAATATGAAAAATGGCAATGTATTTCTGTATTTAAATTTACATTTTCCCCTACATATGTCAATGTACTGTATTTACTATAATGTGCAAAGTGCATAATAATTCAAACACATTGTTTTGCTTCAAAGCGAGCTTTGTATTACTGTGATTAAGCGCAGAGCTGGTTTGTTTGGTTCATTAGAACTCATTAGAATTTGAAATCCTTATGGAGAAAATTAATTGGAAAAATACTCCCATAGTTTATGAATCTGGTCGTCTCTTTTGCACTCTATTTGCATGCATGTTTGTATTGTATTGTAAGTATATCCTTTTAGTGTTGCTTTTAATAAAAGAATGTGAAAAAAATTTAACAGTCTGCTGTTTTAAATAAACTGTTTGAATGTTATAAATGATCAGTTTAAGCAAATTATATTTTCAGTGAAAAGATTGCTTGGTGAGCATGAACCAGTGTTATTTTGGGATCGTGAATATACTAGTATAGTTGTCATTCAAATGTTGAATTAGTTTTGAGTAATTTTTATATTAATTAAACTTTTCGTAATTTTGATTTTGTAATTGTTCTGTAATTTATTTAGATAAATGTCAATAGTTGTATTAATTTTATTTCAGTTTTAGTACTGAAAGTACAATGTAAATTAAGCAAAATGTTGCCTTGGCAACTAATTGATAAAAATAAGTTTAGTTTCAGTAAACACCTTCAACAAGCCCACACTGAACTACACACTAGCCATACAGTATTTACTTGAAGTTTCTCTGAGATTTTAAGTTAGTTTCACTAATTAAGCAACACATTCACATGATCACTGGTCTCTGATATCAGTTAATGATCAAGTGACATAAAATATTTAATTTCTGCATTCAATTATTGCAAAAAATGACAATAATATTGGATAATGTTGATAATTAAATGTTTAATTAAATTAGAAATGTTAAAGTAATTCTGCATATCTGATCAGATTTTCTAAAAATCTTAACATACTGCGTTCATTATATTACTGTCCGTCTCTAGGTTGATCTTAGATGTTTAACATCGCCTACATTATTATTTGTCTTTGTCACTTTATTAGACTCTCTTTTTGGTTCACAATAGCTTAAATATGTGCAGTCCTCATGAAGCTCAAACAGTATCATACAGGCATAAAACATATCTACAGTTCCTTAAACTGAACGCCAGAGGTCATCAAAACATCACAGATTTATTTAATCTACTCAGAACAGACATCTATGGTCTATGATGAGAATGTTACTATTAAACAGTACAATATGCAACAAATGATACTGCAATGTCACTTATTGATTTTATTGATAATTGTATTTCAACTGGAATTTACATTTAGATTGTAAGCCTACCTATTTTTATCTTTACAGACTAAAGCTCCAAGATCTCACATTTGTTTATGATATCCGTTCTTTGTCTCCTCCACTTGTAGATCTGACATCATAAACCAGAAAAACCACAGTAGCCACGCCTACCACAGCAGAGAGGACCAATCGGATCACAGCTTCAGAAGTATTACAACAATGGCCATGGCCTTCTGAGAGAGAGAGAGAGAGAGAGAGCAAATAACCAATAATGAAACGGAATTGTGATGTTCAACAAACTGACTTTAGTCTCATTATGACAATTTAGCAAAATCCCACTTCTGCTATACAGAAAAGTGTGGGGGACTTTTCCTAGTTCTCTATGGACAAAAACAACCAACTAATATCAGCTCTGCTGTACCTGAACATGTGTGACAGAGTTGAGTGATGTCCAGATGTGTGGTCTGGTTGCTGATGGGATTGTTGAGCACACAGCTGTAGCTGTTTTTATCCTGATATTCCACCTCCAGAGGTAGAGAGAGACTGATGCTGAGATCAGACACACTGATGCTGGACAATAAACTGTTTCCTTTGTACCAGGAGAGAGTCACATGACTCACATTCACCACTGAACACACCAATGAACAATATGATGATGATGATGATGAAGAACAGTTTGTAGAGTTACTGCTGATGACAGGAACAGACAGACGAGCTGAAAACAAGAGAGAAATATGGATAATAACAATTACGTTTGTCAACTTTTTAAACGTTCTACATATAAAGTAGCCTATGCTATAAATAACCTCTTATTCACCATAAACAGAAACACTGAATGTTTTTAATGACAGTTTTGCTCCTCTTATCTCTAGTTCATAGGGTCCAGCATGTTCAGTTGTGATGTTTGTGATGATCAGAGATCCAGTTTGTTTGTTCAGTTTCAGTCTGTCTCTGAATCTCCCATCAAGAACATCCTCATATGTGATGAAGATTCCAGTAGCTCTATTGATTTCAGCAATCTTTTCAGCTCCAAAATTCCATAGTATGTCGTCGTCTTCGTGTATTTCAGTAACATCAGTGTTTAGAGTGACAGTATCTCCCCCCATTTTTGAAAATGACTGAATTTCACTTGTCTTAGCACCAAACACACCTGGGGAACATGAACAGGTTTTGTCAGAAATTAAGACTCTTGTTGGTTTACAAAGCCTAAAGTCAGTTGTAAATTGTAATGTTTAAATGTAAACAGAACAACATCCTTTAAAAAAAGATTTCCTTGACTTCCGTAGTAGTTTATGAATTCCTACATTTTCTGTCTTTTTTTTTTTTATTTCCATTTTTATCTCATGTAACGTCTGCTAAATAAATGTTTCTCCAGTGTAACAACCTCTAAAATAAAGACATTCCCCCCAATAAATTCACTGATTTTCATTATATTCCATGACTGTGGGATCCTTTGCACCTAAACAAAGTTTGTAAACACAGACCTGATATGTGACATTATGAGAGTAAGCCATAAAAATACATTCATAACTTACCAATCAGATGAGACCAATACAAACAGAACAAAACTAACATGTGAGACATTTTCTTGACCAGTTCAGTGAAAAGTCTGAGCTAATAACACTATCTGTTAAAAACAATCAAACTGATGTAACCAAACACAGCAGTACTATTAAACTGGAGTGTGAATCCTCCCACAATTTTTGATCCTCCTACTTCACACACAAACACACACACACACACACACACACACACACACACACACTGAGGGTAGTTATTAATGTTCTTCTAGTTCTTATTGGACCTTTAACTGTTCTTAATGGGTGAAAACATTATTTTTATCATTTAAAATTGATCATGTTTGAAAGGAACTACTAGCTATGTTAAATATGTAAAGTATAAGAGTGAAATATTGTGAAATCTTCCTACATTTTTATTGTAAAATAGAGATTTCTGAATTTAAAATTGGTGTAATCAACTCTCAGTTGTTTTGTATGGCAAAATGAACAAAAAAACAAATGTTAAACCCGTTTGCTATCTCTCAGTGTGACTCCAGCAGCTCAACAGAGTCAAACTGAAACCTGCTGTGGTTAGTTTTCTTCACATGTGTGATCTGCTTGGTGGACAGACAGCTTTTGCAGGAAAGTGCCCATTTGTTTGATGTGTGTTTGGTTTGTAGGTGAAGAGCATCTTCCTGTCCTGCTTTTATGAACCTCACAGTCTGACTTTACACAGAATTGCTTTACCGTGAATAAAGTACTGACAGCTGACCATCGCTCAACACTGAACCTACAATCGTGACCATTTGTTATTTAATCTGCAGGCACCACGATGACCATGATGAAACTGTGTTTGACACAGAGGAAGAAAAGAGATTAACAACATAGCCAGAGCCACAGCAAAAAGGAACATTGCTGTGGTGCATTTGTGGGGAGATAAGAATACATAAAAGTTCCAGTTCAAACAGTTTTATTTTTTTATGTAGTGGAATAAAAAGAAAATACAATAAGAAAAATGATATTCTGCAAGTATGGTTTGATGCACAATCTTGACTTTCATAATTGGTCATAATGCCTGCAAGCTGCAGCCAGTGGGCTTCTCTATCTGTCTTGATACCTGAAAATTAAAGAGGTAACTTTCAAAAGTTCAAAGAATACACCCTGTTAAAGCATATTTTCGAAATATTTAACACTGAAATGAACAATGAATGTTCTTTCTGTAAAAATTTACCAGAACAATCAGCAGATCATTTCTTCACAAGTTGAAATGGCCAGAAATTGAACGCAATTTTGAATTATTTCTGATAGCATTACAATGTTGTTATGAGATGGAGAAATTATGTAAAAAAATAACTATACAAAACAGTTTGTTAAAAACTTGTATTTATATAAGCTAAGACAGTGATGCTTATGAAAACCCATGATATTTGCATTGCATGGAATTTTATATATTGGTTACAGTTTTTGCCCGTTGCTTGAACACTATAGACACATGCTTAGACCAAAGTAACAAAACTTGAAGCTTTTGTTACTATACCTTAAACACAGTGTAACCATACCTTAAACAAAAGCGCTGCTTTGCACTTTAGTTGCAATTCTGTAACACACTTGCTCCTTTCTGCAACACACTTGCTCCTAGACACTACACACTATTTCATACATAAGACACTTAGTTCAAAAATGAAATCTCAGGGTACCATTGGGAAAACACATCTATTCAAAATACAACACACATTGGTTAATTGAAAAGACGTTGACACACACCTGAAAACACTTACTTACAAAACTGAACACCAATCAGCCAGCTACAAAAAGGTCTCAGTTAAGCCATTTTGAGAACTTGAGGCAGGGAGAGCTAGAGGCAGAGGAAGAGGAAGACAGAGAGAGAGAGGAGGACGTGGTCGAAGAGGCCACGCAAGGACCATTATTTCGGATGACATAAGAGCAACTTTGGTGGACCATGTCATAAACCATGGCCTGACTATGAGGGAAGCTGGGCAGAGAGTCCATCCTAATCTAAGCCGTTTCACAGTTTCATCCATAATAAGGACATTCCGACTGGAAAACAGGTATGTCTTCAACTCTCTACTCTACTCAGACTGTATCTAGAGTATTTACAGTACTGTACCATATCACGTTACTGTATCACATGTATTGTATTCCAGGGTGGCTAATGCTCCTTTTCCAACAAAAGTGGTAGTTTTGTGAAACATACCGTGATAACGTGTTGAGATGTTTCAGTACTGTGTATGGTAAATACAGTAAAGTTCAGTATACACAGTACTGTAAAGAAGCAAACGAGAACAATTTGTGGTTGCATTTTTCTACAGAATGGCTAGAAGACCTACTGGGGGTGGACGCCAACGCCTGTTCACCCAACAGCAGGAACTTGCCATAGTGAACCTAGTCAGAGCAAACAATGCAATCCGTCTCCACCAGCTACAGCAACAAATACTTGCAGATAGGCAAGTATTCAACAACATAAATCGAGTAAGCATTACAACTATCAGACGCATCTTGGTAAAGCACAACATGACCATGAAGCAATTGTACAGGGTCCCATTTGAGAGGAACAGTGTCAGGGTCAAAGAACTTCGACATGAATATGTACAGGTAAGTGTTTCAGTCCTTTACATTTACAATAAAGAATGGGTGCAGTCCAGTAACAGATGAATATGTACCACTGGATTAGTACCACATAGATACATTCAGAAAGCTACACAGGTACCTGTGTGGTGGGGTGGGTCGGTTCTGTATATGTAGTAGTGTAAGTGTGTGCTTTGAGTAAAGCCATCCACAATATGTATTTTTTGTTACAGAGAATCTTGGACATGGATGGAGCTGCCCAGCCGCATGAATGTATTTACATTGACGAGGCTGGATTCAACCTTAGCAAAAACAGACGACGGGGACGTAATATAATTGGCCAAAGGGCAATTTTGCACGTCCCGGGGCAGCGCGGGGGAAATATCACATTGTGTGCTGCCATAAGTCTTCGAGGCCTACTGCACCATCATGCCAAACTGGGTCCCTATAATGCGCAACACATCATCACATTTCTAGATGCACTTCATGATGCAGTTGGACAGGATGGACCAGAGCAGCCCAGGTTTGTTGTTGTCTGGGATAATGTTAGTTTCCATCGGGCTGCTCTGGTCCAGAACTGGTTCACCAACCATGATCACTTTGAAGTTCTGTACTTGCCCCCTTACTCGCCATTTCTAAATCCTATAGAGGAATTTTTTCCGCTTGGAGATGGCGCGTATATGACCGCCAACCACATGCCCGTATGCCTCTTCTGCAGGCAATGGAACAGGCCTGCGGAGACATTGAGGTGAGGTCTATCCAGGGATGGATTCGACACACAAGGGGATATTTTCCCCGATGCTTAGCGAGAGAAGACATTGCTTGTGATGTTGATGAGATCCTGTGGCCAGACCCCAACAGACGGCAGGATCCATAAGCCCACTTGCGCACAATTGTGTTTTTCTGTGTTTACAGTAGTGAATTGTTTGTTTTATTTTTGATTTAACTGAATTTACTGTACTGTAAAATATACTACTGTAATGTAATGATTTTGAAATCAGTATTTCATTTTTTGGTTGTTGTGAAAACATGCCCTCTGTGGAACTGAATAAAAACATTGAAAACAAAAGACTGCAATTTTTTATATAAAGTAGACTAGTGTGTTGCTGCTGATCTGAAAGTGTATTCATATGATGCAAGTGGGTATCATTTTGTCATCAGAGTGACATTTTGACAAAGGATTGTTAGGTTTTGATAGCAGAGTTTCAATTTGACATAGATGTGAATGGTTTATTTCCCAGTGTTGTGTCTTATTTGCTTGTGTGTAGAGTTTTGACACAATGAGCCAAATTTAGCAAAACGTGTGTAAGCAATAGGCAAAAACTGTAATTTCTGCAATT